TTTAATGTACGTTTTCAAATTTCAATTTTCCCACAAAAAAAAACGCTTTAGCTCGTTTTTGCCGTATCTCGAAAAATATGCTTCCTCTATGATGGAAAGTCAAACATATCACTATGTTTACTTGTTTAAATTTCAATATATTTTTATATTTTTTACCTCCTCCACAAAAAAAGAAACATTTTGAACACATCTCTTTCTGTTTATAATCTTCAACATTGAACTCTTTAACCTCAGCCAAGGCGAAATTCTTATCAGTGAACTGGAAGACATGAACACGCGTAAGAAACGTTTTCTTTTTTTTTTTTTTTTTTGGTTAAAACAAAAATATTATACAATTAATTCTAATTTTGGCAATTATGAAATTTCATCTAATGTTTGCAAATTTAATATTTCTCATTAGGAGATAAGAAACTTGACTGGTTTTGAAAATCTTTGCCAAGAAAAGTTCGAGTTTAAATTGTGAACTTTGACTTGAAATTGAAGTGATAGTATTTTCCGGTCCTAATGTCCTAACATTGTATATATAAAGAAAAGGTAATTTCAAAATAAAATTAATATAAAATTAAGTCTACATCGATATGATGGATGACTATGCAGTGACGAGACAAAATGGGTCAAGCTGGAATCTAGCATATTTTGCATGGGGATGAACGTTGATAAACACAACTCAGACAATGGGGGATCACAGTCAAAATGGTGCTAAATAGAGAGTAAGCCAATTTACACCAAATATAATGTCATTGAAAATATTGTATTTCTTATTATATGCCTTTGTCCATATATACATTGGAAATTCTGTACAGTTCATATTTTTTCAAAATTTTTGAACTTTTGTGGTGGAGGAATTCAAAAGAGTGGACCGAACGATGGAAAATGCAAGATTTTTACAATTGCATCAATATAGCCAACAATATTAAGATGTACAAAATGTCAATAAAATCGGATATTTCTTTTTTAATTTGAGAGAGTTATTATACCCTCCAGCATAGTATGGATAGTATATTAAGTTTGTCTTTCCGTTTGTAACACCTCGAAATATACATTTTAGATCCCACAAAGTATATATATTCTTGATCAGCATAAAATTCTATGTCGACTTAGCAATGTCCGTCCGTCTGTCCGTTTATCCGTCCGTCCGTCTGTGGAAATCACTCTAGCTTCCGAACGAAATGAGGTTTATAAAATTTTACTCAAATGTGTATTATGTTTGCAGGACTTTTGGTATTGAAAATGGGCCATGAAGGTCTACGACTTCGTATAGCCCCCATATAACGGTACTTCTCGATATTCGGTATTTTGATGATTTTAGCGATATTATTTACCAGAATTGTTTCAAAATTGGTATTTGAAGTTCGTAATAGATCCTGCAGCCTAAGACAGAAAATGAACCATGTAGGTCCACGTCTTCGTATATATATGTAACGGGACCTCTCGATATTCGGTATTTTGATTATTTTAGCGACATGATTCACCGTAATTGTGTAAAATTTGTTATTTGAAGTTCGTAAGAGATACTACAGCCTAATACAGAAAATGAACCATGTAGGTCCACGTCTTCGTATATATATATAACGGGACCTCTCGATATTCGGTATTTTGATTATTTTAGCGACATGATTCACCGGAATTGTGTAAAATTTGTTATTTGAAGTTCGTAAGAGATACTACAGCCTAATACAGAAAATGAGCCATGTAGGTCCACGTCTTCGTATAGCCCCCATATAACGTTAACTCCCGATAATCGGTATTTTGATGATTTTGGAGACATCATGCACCGAATTTTTTTTTTTCAAATTTCGCATTTGAAGTTTGCGATGGATACTACAGCCTATGCCAGAAAATTGTCTGTGCAGGTCCACGTCTTCGTATAGCCCCCATACACGGGTATCCCCCGATATTCGGTATTTTGATGATTTTGGAGACATCATGTACCGGAATTATTTCAAATTTTGTATTTGAAGTTAGTAATGGATACTACTGTCTATGCCAGAAAATTGTATGTGCATGTCCACGTTTTATAACCCCCATGGTACCTCCCTATATTCGGTATTTTGATGATTTTAGGTACATTATAAACAATTTTTTCCAGTTTCGTATTTGAATATTGTAATAGCTTATGAGAAAATTTGCCTATACAGGTCCACGTCGTCGTATAGACCCTAATATACGGCTACATTCGGTATTTTTAATATTTTAACAGAATTTTATTTTTTATTTTTTTTTTTTTTTTTGAAAATTGCTAAATTTGGAGGAAAATTTGAATGGTGGAGGGTATTTTAAGTTCGGCCCGGCCGAACTTACAGCTTGTTTACTTGTTGTCGGTTTAAAATATTGACCTTTTGTCGGAGAGGTACAGAAAAGAGAGAATTATTATTTTTTGGTATGTACGAAGTTTGGGCCAAATAGGATACTACCTTGCAGAGTTATCGGACGCTCAGACAGACAGATGGTTAACTAGGATCTAAATCCGTTGTTTCGATGGGACACATTCGGCCATATCAAATATAGACGTATGGCTGAGGCTAATAAAAAAATACCCGCAACCCTTCGTTCGTCAAAAGTTCACAAAAAACCAGTAAAAAGCTGTAAGTTCGGCCGGACCGAAGTTTGAATACCCTCCACCATTTGGAACGAATTTGACAATTTTAAAAATAAAAATAAAATCCGTTAAGAATTCTGTTAAAATCTTAAAAATACCGAATGTAGACGTGTCTATACAACGACGTGGACCTACATAGACAACTTTTTTCATAAGCCATTACAATATTCAAATGCGAAACTTGAAAAAAAATCGGCGAATAATGTAGCTAAATTTATTAAAATTCTGGATATAGGGTTATACCAAAACGTGGACCTGTACAGACAGTCTTCTATCATAAGCTTTGGTATCCATTACGAACTTCAAATACGAAATTTGAAACGATTCCGATGAATAATGTAACTAAAATCATCAAATACCAAATATAGGGAGGTACCATTGGGGCTATACCAAAATGTGGACCTGCACAGACAATTTTCTATCATAGGCTTTGGTATCCATTACGAACTTCAAATACGAAATTTGAAATGATTCCGGTGAATAATGTCGCTAAAATCATTAAAATACCGAAGATCGGGAGGTACCGTTATATGAGGGCTATACGAAGACGTGAAACTGCACAGACAATTTTCTGTCCCTGTATTCATTACGAACTTCAAATACCAAATTTGAAACATTTCCGGTGAATAATGTTGCTTAAATCGCAAAAATACCGAAAACAGGGAGGTAACATTTTATGGGAGCTATACCCAAACGTGGACCTACATGGCCCATTTTCAATATCAAAAGTCCAGCAGACATAATATACATTTGAATAAAATTTTATCAACCTACCGCACTTCGTTCGGAAACTAGAGTGTTTTCCGCAGACGGACGGAAATCGCTAAATCGACATAGAATATTATGCTGATCAAGAATATACAGGGTGAGATAAAAAAACTGCAACAAAGTCAAACGCCATAATTTTTACATTTTTTTACATTTTATTGAATGTAAGCAAAAATTGTCGGAAATAGCATCAAATTTTAAAATAACTTTAGATTTGTTCGAATTGGCCACCTTTGGCACGAATTATGGCCTTCGAACGTCCAATGAAACCGTCACATGCTGCCCGAATGTTGCTGTGCGGTATATTGGCCCATTCCCGGCGAAGCGCTTGCTTGAGGTGATCGACACTTTGGTATTTTTAGTGTCAACCTTAGTTTTCAAAATACTCCAGACACAATAGGCCAACGGAGAGAGACCACCCTGTACAGTATCGGTCGACTCCATCAAGTATCTCCCCCCAAAAGGTCAAAATTTTGAATTATGACATGCGTGAAATGTGGACTCTTTGTCGAGGCAGTACCAGAAGGCATGGCCCGATCTCCACCATCTTTATAACAGACCTTGTGTTGATAGAAATATTGAGATGTGGCAAGTTTGAATGGAATCGAATAATAATTTCGCGTTTTATGATCCTCTTGGATATTCAAAATTTTGACCGTTTGTGGGGGAGGTTCAAGAGGGAGTGACCCGATATTTCCCATCTTTACTCCAGATCTTGGGTTAATAAAAATATTGTGATGTGTAAAATTTGAAGACAATCGAACTCTTATGTCACATTTTATTAAAGTTATAATTATTCCAAATTTTGACTCTTTGTGGGGGAGGTACTTGAAGTCCATTTTCGCACCTGACATATTAGGATTTTCAAAGTTGGAGTAAACTTGGATCATCCTTTCATTTTCTGTGCAGTAAAATATTTTCTTTGAAAATTTCGACCTTTTGTTTGGGATGTACCAGAATGAGTGGGCCGATATTTCCTATCTCTGATTTCGATCTAAGTTTAATAATAGCATTACGATGTAGCACGTTTGAACCAAATCGGATACTACCAGCCAGCCAGACGGTCGTACGGAAACCGTTAAATCGACGCCAAGTGTCTAGAAACGGCCCAAAGAGACCCAGGGTCCAAGACCGTTATTTCGATGTGACACGTTTAAGCCGTATCAAATGATATATACCCTCTGGCTCAATGAAAATTGTACCTATTCGATCTCAATGCAAATTTTCAAACCTTTATTTGTAGCTGATAGCTCAGGCTATCAAGATCTTACCAGTTGTTCAAACTCCGTGCAGTAGCAATTTGTACTTTTTGTACCATTTCGTACGAATTTCGAAATTCGATTTAATTTACATATGATTCGGTTAAGAGATTCTGTATAACATTAAAGAGGTTATACTTCCGGGTACACTTCGTACTACATCGATTAATAATATTCTCTTCAAAATTTTGCTCTTCAGTGTAACCGACAACTTTTTTCCTATTTGAACTTTGCTAATTTATTTTGAATTTTTCTCAGGAATTTTTGCTGATAACAAAATTTGCGATGTTAAAAAATCGAGATGTGCAAAAAATATTCTCTAATCAGGGTATGAAAGATTCAATTGTCGATTAGGGTCAGAAAATGATTTATTTTATTGACAATTTTCATTTACTGGTCATCAGTTCCAAGGAGCATTTTCAAAAAGCAACAACAGTTATTAAGTGACGGCAGTTCATTATCGGAAAAAAATAAAAATGTCTTTCCTTGCAAAAATTGTCCTTGTCGTTTTCATGTTGGTCTGCTGTTTGCAGGTAAGAATTTGAAATAAAATGGAATTTCAAGGACATAAAATAGAAATGATTTATAATAAAATTACAATAATTTATTTTAATTTATAAAATTTAGTAATAATTTAATATTTTATTATTATTTTTTTTTTTTGAATTCTTTGAAGTTTGTCTTTATGGCCCGTTTGAGACGTGAAGACACCTCAGCTGATAAAGCAAAATCGATGGATAGTATAGATATCAATGCCTTGGGCAACATGATCTTGGATAAATTGAAGGATAGCTTAAAGAATGGCGATGAAACGTTGAAGGTAAATTTTTGAAATTGTTCCAAATTAAAGATTGATTTTATTATTTTGTATAATTTTTAGAATATTCTTGATGTCGCTACTAATTCATTCCAACAATATGCTAATAATGCAGCTGCTGCTGCTGCTTAGGCTGTGTGATCGTGAGTGATCTTAGAAATGTAAATTGTGGAAATGCCTAAAAGTAGGCTTTATTTTTTTGTTGAAGTACTAAACGAAATGATCTTCAATATATTCAATAAAAAAACCTATTAAGTATCGATTCTTTAAACAATTTTTCTCGGTTTTATAATTAAGACGATGTGTAATTGAATATTTAAATTATCGGTTAGGACGAAAACTTGGTAAGCGTTTATGTAACTTAATTGCAAATGCCCGCTACTTCGTATGCGGAGTATGGAATTTATTATTAAATGAATTTATATTTTTCTAAACCAGTAAGGAAAGGCCAAAAGTCGAGCGGAGCCGACCCTACACCACTATGCGTATTTAGTAGAGCTCCCATAACAAAAAAGTGTATACTGGGAATTTATGTGTAGTAGATCATACCAACATTGAACCTTACTTGATTGCGTATCATGGCTTTGAAGTAGTCATACTTTGGGAACTATTTCCAACTCCAAATCAATTTCTAACAAATTTGACGAATGCCTTTGTACCCTATTACCAAATAACATGAATGTATAGTACATGATATGACTTCGATAAGAATCATATTAAAAAATATGTATTGGAGCAATGAAAATAGCGGACAAAGTTTTGCCAAATGGAAAAATTCGGTTGAATATGAAAACATCTATTCAATTTGGGCTGATATTACATATAAGGTGGACAATAACCGTAAAATCGGATAAAGATGTATGCTGCAGCTATATAAATGTGAGGGACCTAGACACTTATGCATGTGAGGGACCTAGACACTAAATCGGATGAACAATATATATGGGAGCCATAGCTATATCTGAACCGATTTCCACCAAATTTGATGTACTAACTTCTAGACTGAATTCGGTCGGGCCAAATAAATATTGTTCTCAATCGGATAATAAATGCGACCTGTACATGAATGCATTTTGTACACGGACTTACATGCATAAATCGACTCAGAAAGTGATTCTATGAAGGTCCTCAAAAGTTACTGTGGGTCTATCTCGATTTTTTCTTATTCCAAATTTCAGATTTTCTTCCACAAATTGCAAATGTTAATACAATTTAGTACTTTTCGTACTTTTTTGGTACTTTTGTGCTTTGAGTGAATGTAGAATGTAGACATCCAAAATTTTGGAATTAGAATCACAATTTTTGCGGTCTGGTTTATTCATGGCGGGGATTTGGAAATGCGTACCAAAAAATCCAAATGGAAGCAAATTTAGTACGATTTATTACCCATAAGTACACATTTCCATAACAATCTGCATCATACAATCCAATAGATTCAATTTAAGAATTATAGTCCAATCGGTATATCCAAATCCAAAAGTACTAAATTGAGTACTGTTTAGTACACTTAAGTACGAATTTCCAAAGCAGCTCTATTAGTTCACCGAAATCCAAATTGTACCAAATTTAGTACATACAGTGCATATTTATAAAACTACCCACATATCCCAATCCTACATTAACCACAATTCGTCTAAATTTAAATTGTCCTAAATTTAGTACCATATAGTACAGATAAATAAGATTTTACAAAACTTCTCACATAACCCAATCCTACACTCCAAGAATAATCTCAAGTTCAACTTTCAGGATATCAACTCTAGTGGTTCACTAAAACCCTAATTGTACCAAATTTAGTACATATAGTACAAATTTTCAAAACTACCCACATATTCCAATCCTACACTCCGACAGTAATCTTATATCCAACTTTGAGTATTACAACTCTTTTGGTTCTCCCAAAATTTAAATTGTACAAATTTAGTACCATTAAGTACACCAAAGTACGGATTTCCCAAACTACCCAAATTCATCAATCCTATAATACAATAGCAATCTATCGGTTCACCGAAATCGAAATTGTACAAATTTAGTACCATTCAGTACTTTTCGTGCACATAAGTACAAATTTCGAAAACCACCTCCATATTCCAATTCTACACTCCGACAGTAATGTAAATCTCAAATTTCAGGATCCCAGCTCCATCCGTTCCTCCAAATTCAAATTGTACTACATTTAGTACCATTTAGTACTTTTCGGATACACACACACATTTCCAAAACTACCTCCTTACATTGAATATACTCTTCAACCTTGATTCCCATTCCAAATTTTATATGATACGAAATGGCACCAAATGTAGTATATTTTAGTACTCTTCGTACACTTATAGTGCGCGCTTCCAAAAACCCTTTGGTACATCTATCATACACTCCATCAGTGATCCTCATTCTAAATTTAATATTTGTAGCTCTACTGTTTCTTCAATTACAAGGGGTACCATATTTAGTACCTTTTAATATTTTTCGTACCGTTCTAGTACGAATTTCGAAAAACCCAGTCTAATGTGACCCTTTGTAATATGGAAGCAGCGCAATAATAATCAATAATTTCCAGATGCAAAAATGTCAATTTTTATTTCGATTAAAAATCCAAAAAATTCATATTTGAGCAAAAAATTAAAAAAAAATATTTCTAGCGTGGCTTGGATTTTTGTCCACCTTTGTTCTGGGCCTTCTTGCGTTTTTTCAATTTTTGCGCTTCCAATAGAGCCAGGGCCTCGGCTTCAGCTTCCTAGAACCCCATTAACATTAAATTGAAATAAGAAATAAAAATCATTTTAGTTTGAAATACCTGTCTCTTCAATTCCGCTAGCTGACGTTCACGTTCCTCCTTTTCAAGACGTTTTTCAATATCCCGATGAAATCTTTCAATTTCTTGGAGATGCATTTTCTTGGCATCTCGTAGCTTATCTATTTGAGCTTGAATGTAGTTATTCTTATTTTCCATTACCTCAAATTCGTTATCGAAACGTTCCTGAAGTTCATTGATTCGTCTTTTGTATTGCTACAAATGGAGAATTTGGAAGTTTAACAATTGAAAAAGCAGCTTAGTTTGGCCGGGCCGAACTTTTGATAAAATTGGATTTGGAATTGGATATGGAAAAAAATTATCCATTACACACTTCAAATACGAGATTTGAAACAATTTCGGTGAAAAACTTCGCTAAAATCCTCAAAACACCGTCATATGTGGGCTATACGAAGACGTGGACCAGCATAAGTAACTTTTTACCATGGGTTGAAGTACCCATTAAGATCATATAATACGAAATTTGAAGCGATTCCGGTAAAAACTATGGCTAAAATCATCAAAATATAGGGTCTATACGAAAACGAGGACCAACATAGCCCATGCCTACTGACCAAATAGGTATAAGTTCAATATTATAGTCTTCTATAACTATTCGATCGAAAGGCTGATTGATTATAATAGGCAGACATCGCTAAGTCGACTTAAAACAAGAATATACAGGGTGTGATGAAAAAACTGCAACCAACTTCAGACTACTGTCATTTCTAAGCCACTCGTCGGACAGCTGTTAAAAGTATGTCAGTCATGACAGCTCATTATATTGTTTTTAGAAGCGTACAAAAGCATTTTGGTGAGAATTTTCCAGAAAAAAAGTTATTCGTGATGGAATTCAAGCGTAATAGTGTGATTTCTTTATATTTGACTGGAAAACCACAAGTGGCTATCGTTAGAGCACTCCAGCATTTAAATGTGAATATATGTTTTGTGTCTCGTACCATCGCTCGTTACCGTGATACTGGTAGTGTAGACCGACGTGGAAGGAAGTGGACGGAAGAAAATAGCAACACCTGCAGAAATGGTTCGAAAAGTAAAGAAGCGACATGATCGAAACCCGCGTCGCAGTGACCGAAAAATGGCTCGTGAGCTGAACTTATCGCAATATTTCATTCGCCAAATATTGAAAAATGAGCTTGGGGTAAAGCCATTGAAATTCCCAAAAGTGCAAGAACCTTCACCGCCACAGAAAGAAAATAGGCTCAAAAGAGCTAAAGAGTTGCTTCCCTTAGCCAAAAGTGGTGAACTGCCGAATTTGGTTTTCTCCGATGAGAAAACATTCGTTGTCCAGCAGTTTGTAAACAAACAAAATGATCGTGTGATCGGCGCTTGGCAAAGAGGTCAGCAGAAAATGTGCACCTTCGGTTGGACACCAGAACTCAAGCGCCGGCCATGGTGAGAGTGTGGGTCGCCATAACAGCCGATGGTCACTCCACGCTCTTATTAATCGACCGTGGCATCAGAATAAATGCCGAATATTATCGCGAAAATATTCTGGAGGCCACGCAAACATTTTGGCCACATACATTGGACATTCCAACAGGACTCAGCTCGCGCCACCCAAGAATGGCGAAAATGAGCGTAAAACGGTCACCAACATCTCCGGCTACCAATCCGTATTGTTTCTGGAGTATTTTGGAAAGTAAGGTTGGTGCAAAAAAAAAAAACCAAAGTGTCGATCACCTCAAGCAAGCGCTTCGCCGAAATGGCAACATTCGGGCAGCGTGTGACGGTTTCATTGGCCGTTTGAAGGCCATAAATCGTGCCAAAGGTAACTAAATCGAGCAAATCTAAACTTATTCTAAAATTTGATGCTATTTCCGACATTTTTTGCTTTTATTCAATAAAATTAAAAAAAAAATGTAAAAACTATGGCGTTTGACTTTGTTGCTGTTTTTTTATTCCATTTTCATTAACTTGGACTTTTTAGAATATTTCTTTCATTTTCCCAAAGGATATCTGGGCCTACAATGCGGATGTTTCAGAATATCTTTTGAGGACTATAAGAGCCATCAATGTGGCTTTTTATAATACATATATATTCAATGAGAAGCATAGACGTCAAAGTGGATTTTTTAAAATATTTTTCAATGGCTATCAGAGCCATCGACGAGGATTTTTTAAGGACTACTAGAACCATCAACGTTGATTTTTTAAAGGATATTTTAAAGAGCATTTTTTTAGAATATTTTTCCAAAGCTTATGATTGTTGGACCTTGGATATTTTAAAATATTTTTTAAACGATCATCAGGGCTATCAACGTGGCTATTTATGGAATGTAGAATAGATAATCAGTGGCATCGACTTAAGATTTTGTAAAAATATATTTTTGAAGAGTCCCTAAGAGGATTTAAAAAAAAATCAACTTTGTTATTTTCTTAAATATTTTTTCAATGACCATCAGAATTGTAAACCTGGATTTTTCAAGAGTATTTTTCGAGCATCCTCAGGATAATCAATATGGATATTTTAAATAATATTATTTTAAGAACCATGGAGCAACTTGCACCTATTTAAGGGATATTTTAAGGACCTTCAACATACATGGACAAGATTTTTTTCGGAACATATTTCGAAGCGATCACAAATGTGGATAGTTTAGAGAGTATTTTTTCAAAGACCATTAGAGCCCCCAAATTCGATTTTTAAGAAATTTGTCCATAGAAATAAAAAGTATCATTAAACTAAATCCTAAACTGACCTCCACCAGCGAATAGTAGGTATCCATTATGCTATCGCCACAATGTTTTTCCGTCAATATTTTCTCCTTTAGTTTTTCAATTTCATTCGTATAACCCGATACGGCTTGGTCCATGCGATATTGGTTCTGTTTGACCATGGAACGATACCAATTCAATTCATAGCGGACCTCAATGGGATCGAAAACTAAGGAGAATTAATATAAAATTTTACAACTGAAATTATGTTTTTTTTTTTCTGGAATACCATCGGAATTCATGAAAATCTCTTCAAGGGCCGTTAAACGTTTTTGCTGCTTTTCCAAAAAATCATTGACATTTTCCACCATGACACGATTCTGGGTTTCCTTGAGGGTTTTTAATAATTCTTCCCTCTCACTGGCAAGAGATTCGGGGAGGTTGTGGTATAGTTGGACATTTCTAAATAGGATTGAAATTTTAAATTTACATTTTCTTCGAAGAAAATCGAACAATTACCTCAGATACTTCCATAGATCCTCCTCCTTCAAAGATTCATCCTTTTCGGTTTCTACAGCCGTTTGGAATATTAAATCAATGAATTTTTCAATTTCCCTAACATCAGCTGCAACCTTTTGCTTCTCCAAACATGTTGCGTTGCTTTCCATTAGCAGTACATCAACCCAAATACAATTTGGCAATTTTCGTCGTTCCAGGAAATCCTGATGTGACCAACTGAAGACATTATGGGATATCTTTTCCACATCGGACAAATCGTACTCCGGACAATAATCGATATTCGTGAGAAATTTCAATTGTTCCCGAATTGTTTGATGCAACCGTTTCAATGCCAATTGTTTGATGTGAGAGAATGATGGACGTTTGTCAAATAGCTGTTCAATGTGTTTGGGATTAATGAAATCAAAACGTGGTGGCTTGTTTCCTTTAGCGGAGTAGTATTGGCGGTCATAGCGCGCCTTTTCAAGGGGACTTGTTAGGTTTATGTCGTTAGAGGAGGACATGCTACGAAATAAAGAAAATTAATTAACAAACTTCAAAACAACTAAAGTAAACAAAAAAAAAAAGGAAAACCGAGTCACCATCCCGATTTTTTTATTGTTTCAATTTTTATTGAAAATTATTTCAAGGACTTTCAAATTAAGAAATGTGGATATCAAAGGATATTTTTAAACCAACGCGGATTTTTTGAAAAATATTTTAGGGATATTTTTCAAGGACCTTCGGAGTCCCCAACGTGTATTTTTTTCTGATTTTTTTTCAAGGACCCATGCATTGTGGATTTTTTATTTAAAAAATGTTTTTGTCAGTGACTCTCTGGTCAACCAACGTGGAATTCTTAAATAATATTTTTCAATACTTTTTTCAAGGACCAATAAACGTGGATTTTTTAAAGAATACTTTTTTCAAGGACCAATAAACAAGGATTTTTTAAAGAATACTTTTTTCAAGGACCAATAAACGTGGATTTTTTAAAGAATACTTTTTTCAAGGACCAATAAACGCGGATTTTTTAAAGAATATTTTTTCAAGGAACAACGAGGGGGGTTTTTTTGAAGAATATTTTTTCAAGGAACAACGAGGGGGTTTTTTTTTTAAGAATATTTTTTCAAGGACCAATAAACGTGGATTTTATAAAGAATATTTTTTCAAGGAACAACGAGGGGGGTTTTTTGAAGAATATTTTTTCAAGGAACAACGAGGGGGTTTTTTTTTGAAGAATATTTTTTCAAGGACCAATAAACGTGGATTTTATAAAGAATATTTTTTCAAGGAACAACGAGGGGGGTTTTTTGAAGAATATTTTTTCAAAGAACAACGAGGGGGGTTTTTTTGAAGAATATTTTTTCAAGGACCAATAAACGTGGATTTTACAAAGAATATTTTTTCAAGGAACAACGATGGGGGTTTTTTGAAGAATATTTTTTCAAGGACCAACAAACGTGGATTTTTTAAAGAATATTTTTCAAGGAACAACGAGGGGGTTTTTTTGAAGAATATTTTTTCAAGGACCAATAAACGTGGATTTTTAAAGAATATTTTTTCAAGGAACAACGAGGGGGGTTTTTTGAAGAATATTTTTTCAAGGACCAATAAACGTGGATTTTTAAAGAATATTTTTTCAAGGAACAACGAGGGGGGTTTTCTGAAGAATATTTTTTCAAGGAACAACGAGGGGGTTTTTTTGAAGAATATTTTTTCAAGGACCTTCAGACCAATAAACGTGTATTTTTTAAACTATTTTTTCCAAGACCTTCAGACCAATAAACTTGGATTTTTTAAAGAATATTTTTTTCAAATACCTTCAGACCAATAAACGTGGATTTTTTAAAGAATATTTTTTCCAAGACCTTCAGACCAATAAACTTGGATTTTTTAAAGAATATTTTTTCAAAGACCTTCAGACCAATAAACGTGGATTTTTTAAAGAATATTTTTTCAAGGAGCTTCAGACCAATAAACGTGGATTTTTTAAAGAATATTTTTTTAAGGACCTTCAGACCAATAAACGTATTTGTTTGTTTGACCAATAAACGTGAATTTTTTAAAGAATATTTTTTCAAGGACCTTCAGACCAATAAACGTGGATTTTTTAAAGAATATTTTTTTAAGGACCTTCAGACCAATAAACGTATTTGTTTAAGAATATATTTTCAAAGACCTTCAGACCAATAAACGCGGATTTTTTAAAGAATATTTTTTCAAGGACCAATAGACCAATAAACGCGGATTTTTTAAAGAATATTTTTTCAAGGACCAATAGACCAATAAACGCGGATTTTTTAAAGAATATTTTTTCAAGGTCCAATAGACCAATAAACGTGGATTTTTTAAATAATATTTTTTCAAGGACCAATAGACCAATAAACGCGGATTTTTTAAAGAATATTTTTTCAAGGACCAATATTCCAATAATCGTGGAGTTTTTAAAGAATAATTTTTCAAGGACCAATAAACCAATAAACGCGGATTTTTTATAGAATATTTTTTCAAGGACCAATAGACCAATAAACGCGGATTTTTTAAAGAATATTTTTTCAAGGTCCAATAGACCAATAAACGCGGATTTTTTAAAGAATATTTTTTCAAGGACCAATAAACGCGGATTTTTTAAAGAATATTTTTTCAAGGACCGATAGACCAATAAACGTGGATTTTTTAAAGAATATTTTTTCAAGGACCAATAGACCAATAAACGCGGATTTTTTAAAGAATATTTTTTCAAGGACCAATAGACCAATAAACGCGGATTTTTTAAAGAATATTTTTTCAAGGACCAATAGACCAATAAACGCGGATTTTTTAAAGAATATTTTTTCAAGGACCAATAGACCAATAAACGCGGATTTTTTAAAGAATATTTTTTCAAGGACCAATAGACCAATAAACGTGGATTTTTTAAAGAATATTTTTTCAAGGACCTTCGGACCATTAAAAGTGGATTCTTTAAAGAATATTTTTTAAAGACCTTCAGACCATTAAACGTGGATTTTTTAAAAAATATTTTTTAAAGACCTTCAGACCATTAAACGTGGATTTTTTAAAAAATATTTGTTCAAGGAACTTCAGACCAAGAAACATGTTTTTTAAAGAATATTTTTTCAATGACCAACAGACCAATAAACGTGGATTTTTTAACAATATTTTTTCAAGGACCTTCAGACCATTAAACGTGGATTTTTTAAAGAAAATGCCGACTAGATTTCTTAAAAAAATATTTTTCAAGGACCCTCACGTCTACAACGTGGGTTTGTGAGGATTATATTTCAAGGAATATCAGGCCAATCAACATGGATGTTTTAAAGATATTTTTAAAAGACAAACAAAACTGATATTTTTAAGAATATTCAAACGTGGATTTTTATAAAATATTTATTGGAAGAACCCTCAGCCAAATTTTTTAAAGAATAATTCTTCAAGGGCTCTGAGAAACCAAAGTGGATTTTTACAAAAAAATTTTTTTAGAGTTTTTAAGAATTTTTTAAGAAACCAACGTGATTATTTTAAATACTCTTTTCCAAGGACCTCTCGGCCCAGGGACCCTTAGGCCAGCAAACGTGGATTTTTAAAGAATATTTTTAAAAGTCATCTTGGACCAATAATTTTTTTTAATTTTTACTTCAACCGAGACAGCAACAGTGACCTTAATCTCAAATTTATGTATTTTAGCTCCGTAATTTTCCCCATTACCAAATTTAGTTTACAATTATAGTACGCAAATCCAAAACCAGCTCCTTCTCTCAACCACATACACCATCTGTGACATCCATATGAAATTTTGGGATTTCCCTTTAACAAGTACCAAATTTAGTACTTATCGAACAACCATTGGACACATTTGGAAAACCACCTCCATATCTCAATTCCAGATACCTACAGAGACCTCAATCTCAAATTTGAGGATTCCAGGACTATCACCAGGACTATCACTTCACACAATACCACTTCGTACCATTCGAGCAATTATTTTACACATTTTTAAAACCCCCGCAATATCTTAACCACCGACACCAACAGAGAGCTCAATATCACATTTAGGCATTCTAGCCCTATCCTTTCACCCAATACCAAATTTAGTACTATTTTGTACTTTTCGTACAAATATAGGACGCATTTTCGAAAGCACCTCCATATGTCCTGGCTACACATAAACAGCGACCCTAATACGAACATTTCAAATTTCAGGCACCTAATTCACCCGATACCATAGTGTACCCAATATAGTACTATTTAGTACTTTTCGTGCACTTGTAGTACACATTTCCAAAAATACTTCTTTCTCACGAACCTACTACCAACAGGGACCTCAATGCAAAATTTCAAAACTCCAACTTCATCCTTTCACCCTAAACTAAATTGTTCCTTATTAAGTACCATTTAGTACAGTTCGCACCCTTAGTACATATTTCCAAAACCACCTTCGTATTTCAAACCTTGATTTTCATACAAAATTTCACGTGTTTGGCTCTATTCGTTCACATAATACCAAATAGTGCCATTTTAGAAGTTTAGTACAATTTTAAAACTTTTTTTACCTCAAAGTTCGAATTTCCAGAAACCGTTGGGTACATCTATGCTGCACTTTATCATTAGCTCTCAATCCATATTTTTCTAGCTCGTTCCGTTGGTCCAATACAAATTATTAAATTTTTAGTTTATTTTAGTACTTTTCGTACCCTTTTAGTACGAATTATATTTTGTCAAGGACAACAGGGATTATAATGTGGATTTTTTATAAAAAAAAAAGTCTAAGGATAACCTTAACAATAATCAGTCAGATCTCATAGAATATTTTTCCAAGGTTACAAGGATTTTTTTAGATTTTTTAAAGAAGTTTTCTCAACGACATGTAGGACAGTAATAGGATTTTTATAGAATATTCTTCAATAGATTTTTTTATTAAACACTTTGTTAAGGAAAACCTTGACAACTACCTTGGAATTTTCATAGGATATTTTTCCAAGGATTCCACGGAGGTCAATAATCTTGGATATTTTTAAAAAAAGATTTTCAAGGACATATTGGACAATTATAGGATTTTTATTGAATATTCTTCAACGATACCTAGAATAGTAATCTCGGTTTTTTATATTATTTTTTTCTAAGGACTATCAGGACAATAAAAATATATTTTCTTATAATTTTTACATATTTTATGGAATATTCTTTTGGACAAGCAGGACATTTTATTTTTAGGAGACAAGCAGGGAAATAATCGTAGATTTTTAAGAATTACTAGGACTATAATTTGTTCAACACTACCAGGGCTATCACCAAAAAGATGTAAAAGGCTATTTTTATACCCTCCAACTTGAAAAGGTATTTTTGTCGTTTGTAACATCCCTAAATATTCGTCGTAGACCCCATAAAGTATATGTATTAATAATATAATCATAAAATTCTAAGTCGATTTAACAATGTCCGTCGGTCTGTCCATATGTCTTTCTATTGAAATCACGATACAGCCCACGTTATTTGACGTAAATCTTCAACATTTTATTTACCCAATGGTGGAGGGTATTAAAAGTTCGGACCGCATGAACTTATTTTTTTTTTACTTGTTTT